CTTATACGTAAACAGCCAGTGTTCAAAGGAAGAGGGTAATTCATAGATCACTTTTGTACGTTGATCACTCTGTCCCTCTGATGAATCGTATGTTTTGTTGAATTTTTGACGAAAGCACACTGAACACTGAATGTGAATGTATTCGAATGAACTCAATACCATCGTCAAGTTTTCGTCTTGTGGAATGTAATGTAATAAAAATGACAGTAAGAATTCAATCCAATTAAAAGTCAATGTTGAAGTTCTTACGATGCTGTGGAATTGTTATGTGGTCCACCGTGTGGACTTACCACTAGCGAAAGGGAATCGCCAGTCTTCGGAATCAACAAAAGTCCTTCGTATTGAGTACCACCTTGAATGCGAATGGCAGTTCACTTTTTGAAAACATGGAAACGATAAGCGAACTTGACTTAAGACTCAAATCTTCAATGAAGCCGAGTTCATTGAAGATATCTGAGAAAGTATGAAGAAGTTTCATTCACTCGCAAATATGAGCCGTTCAATGTCCAGTATGTGAGCAAAACATTCTTATTCATGACATCCGAATAACTTGAGAAGCAAATGCAATCCACTGACCGTCACTTCTACGAAAGCCCATCAGTCTCCAAGTGTAATCGAGAAGTTTCAGTCGCACTTCAACCGGTACGCTACAGTCGTCCAATTTTGTCCATAAAATCTTCAAAATTATCGCTTACGAGAGCTTTCAAGGCAATTTTTAAATGGTTATCTTACTGCAGGGAAGGATCATTTGAAGAAATGATCAGAACAAATAGTGTAAGAGTCACTTGAATATACAGTGAATGTTCGTGAATCAAGTTAAAAGGATGATAGCATATCGTGACACATGCGATCACCGCACAATTCATTAGCAAATAACTAATAATGAAGTCAGCAACCCACCTTATCCTCATCACCCGCTTTTGGTAATCGACCTAAAAGTGTTGCTGGAGGACGATTCGGCGCAGAGCATGCTACCAGAACAATATCGTTCACAACATCCAATACACTCCAACATCCGAGAATATTCGCTAACATAATAGAATTATTTCATTATTGATAGTCGTCATATGTGCTCAATGATCAACACTCGTTCAGACTATTCACGAAACAGATTCTTCAAAATCAATTGATTTGATTGGCATAAAACAAATCTGCAAACAACAGATAGCACTCACAAATATTGGTGATCTTCCTCACTGAACCTGAACTTGTATCCACCACGAGTATTTCCTAAAATTGCAATGAAATTTTTGACAGTCTTCATTGGCTAACGAGTTTCAAGAGTGCAGCTAGCTATAATCAACTGAATAGAATATTCATTGCAAAAGAGAAAATTTCGTAAAGTTCACCTGTTTGGCTCGCCAAGCACTCGACAAAATCAATCGCTGATTATCGTTGGCCCAACAACGCTCGGACAATTGCACCATTTGAAAACCAGGAAAATCCCGGAACGCTATAAAGATGTTCACCGATATCAACAACACACATTTCGTCCGTAACGAAACACAACCATAGAATATTTCAGGAGGAAAACATGAATAAATTTTAAATCTTCCATTTCCAGAGTCAACATTCTCTGTAAGCGTTTTGCTCTTTATATCATCCAAAATTGATCGCGCAATTTTTTAGGCTTCATTTATATTGTAATGAGCAATGAGCTTAAGAATTTATCCGTTAGCTATCGCTCTAGAATCGCTCAGCATCCACAGATCATAACTCACAAGTTGGCGCATTAACAGTTCCAATCAATTGTTCATCCTTTTTACTGG